TTCCTCAGGTACGGTACCATACCTGCCAAAACCTCACAAAACCTGCTGTTGGAGTATGGCAGGTTTTGGGCAGTTAGGGTTAATCCTTAAATGAAAATATACATGTACCTGTATTTCTCTTTCAAATAGAGGTATCTCTGTATAGAATAGTATGTACATACATGTATGTGTACAGTGTATCTCTTTTTGACATTGGGGCTTTTTTTATACATGTGTATTTACATACAGGTATGCATACGATATGTATCTCTATTGGAAAAAGACATGTAGCTGTATTGTTTAAATTTTAAATTGACATGATACACTGTATGTACCCATAAATGTCATTTTAATGCACACACAGAGGATTCCAGAGGTAAAAATACATATTCATGTATCATGTGCAGTAACATTCAAGTGTTAATGCATCTCTCTGAGTGACATGGATTGAGACACTGTAATTGATATGGACAATTGCAGTCAAACAGGTTCTTTGACCCATTGTACTTTTCTCAGATACACATTTGTCATGCCTGCATGCATTGCACAGCAGATTACTCTAGAGAAATGTTTAAGCTCTGGCTTCTGTTTTGAGTGCACCAGTAGCCTTCAAGAACTTGCTTCTGCCACATTTCATGAAGGCTGCGAATTTGGCTTTCATTTTCATTTACACATAAAACAAAACAAACTGCATCCAATTTTGGTTTCTATTTAAAATAATAATAATAAAAACAGAAGGGAGTTTGTTTACAGTACCCAAGGTGCATGTACGTGTACATGTTTATGTACATACAAGTAAGTGTAGCAGAGTAACTGTTTTTCCGGAATCAAGCTCATGCTGGCTAGATCAAATGAAAGTGTCAATTGAACAATGAAACATCCAAAACCAGTTGGCCAACTTCAAAATGTGTATACTACATGTATTTCAATATGACAGATGTACCGGTAGGACTTAAATATGGGGCAGCGCAGACATCCAGGAGTTTCACAAAATTGTGGGTAGCAATCTTAACCTTCCCCAATCATCCCAAAACCATCCTTGCATAAGTGGAAGATTTTGAAGAATTGTGCCTTTATGGCAAACAAGTGTGTGCCTGATTTCAAAGGATGCATTAATGAAACTGCATAAATAGATACACATTGAAAAAAAAGGAAATCAGTCGCCTTAATTGTTCCATAGCTGCAGCAAGTGAAGACATCTGCACGTTTCTTTTCAAAGGAAACCTGCTACATTACTGCTACATGTATGAAATTTATATAACAAAATTTGAGTATATCAAGGAACATTGAACGTCAATAAAGGTTCAAATGCATTGCTTTTATGTCAAGCGCTATTGTGTATAAATTGGTACATACATACATACATGTACATGCAAGAACATAAATGATCAGGGACAAAACATATAAACAGCAACATCATATATGGTATGACTCATGTGATGACATTACAGAGACACATGACACCTGTCCTTGGAGAAGAGGTCTCAGACCGCAATTTACTGCCACAAATAGCTCGTTCTGCTAACCCCCCCCCCAATTTGTGCCTCAGTGACTTTACATGCAGTTATTAAGATGTACATGAACATGTACGAGCAGGTGTTCTGCATTCACTTGTTGAGGGTTTTAAAAATTACATGAAACAAAAGTTTAAAACTCCTAAGCTTCCCAATTCAAGTCCCCCTTTGGAAAGCCATTGGACATTTAGACATTCTTTATCACCTTCCAGGATTTCATGTATGCCTGATGACTCACCAATATTTTGGTGTCCAGTTTCTCCCCCTTTGTCTCCATTCGCACTATCTTCATGGGGCCATGGTGGAAACGTTCCCCAAGACAGTTCAGCACTGAGTCTATCAACATCAAACCAAACATTCAGACACTGTTTACTATTGTTGGTTAAAGCAAATTCAAATGAAGATTTTCAGACTATCTTTGAATGATAGTAATAGGGCTACAACTGGCAGTACACACTCAATTTCAAAACAAGCAAAGCAAAATGGCTTGAACAAGGACCCAGAAGTTTCCTTCAACATTTAAGATAACCAGTAGTTGGTGAAAAAGGTATTTTTGGTGAGTCTTTGGAATTTTTGAGAACCGTTGTCCCATTACTATATGTAATGTCGTGGAGCATTATTATGACCAATCCCATCCAAAATCGGAAAAGACGAATGCTAACGCTCCACTAGCACTTAAGCAAATTTTAAGTTTAAGCAGCTCTATGAAATGGGCCCCAGAATTGTGCTTTTTCTGGCAATTCTTCAGTAATTTCACTGAAGACTGACTAGTGTATAATACAATAAACACTGAATATTGTTGCAAACAAATCATGATAAAAAAGGCCTTGGTTACCTACACTGTAACAACAGGGCAAAATCCTCCAATTACAAAATGATTTTACACACTATGGAGTAAGGGATGATCAACTTATCCCAAATTCAATCAACTGGGACATTGCCAATTTTTCCCAGAATGGTGCGTGTATATCAACCAATTAGACATGTATAGTATGTCCTGAGGAGTCAAAATAACAGAGACTGGGAGAGAATATTGAAACACTTACTTCAGTTTTTACATGTTGAAAAAAAAATGCACAGAATTCTTCAGACCAAAACTTTTTGCGACCGCAATGGACACGATGGAAATAAGCTTTCTCAACTTTTTTGTCATGCTTGTATTATTATGATTATCCCAGCTTTTCTAAGTGACTGGTTATCTTTTTTATACCAGGATTACTGTCAACTTGTCAAACACGTAAATAGGCCTATAAAATAAAACTAAAAGTTTAGGCCAAGTTGTCTGTGTTCCACCTTTGTCTGTATCTAGGTCTACATGTGTTTGTGTTGTGGAAATCAAATCAGACCAGTCTCATACATGACATACTTGTAGGATTTGTGCACACGGTTTCAAGTGATGTCCATGTGTATGAAATCTTTCGCCATTGCTGTACCAACGGTCGAACTTCAATTATCAGACTATACCGTGTACCACCATAAAGCACACAACACAACCACCTGACCACTGACTGGCTGAACATCCACACACTGGAAATATGGCTCACCTGAAAGTTCCGGCGAAATGGTCTCCATGATGCTCATTTTGGTCACCAAAGTAGCCGCACGGACTCTCAGGAACGTGCCTTGACAGGTTTGCGGGAAATTTTATTTTAATCCACTGGAAGTGCAAAGGTTGACAGAATCAGGAAGTGGAGGCGATCTTCACGCGCACTTGTGGGAGTGGTCCGCCATGTTTAGAATATGAGTAAATGACAAGTCCGCTGGTACTACTGTGGTTTCGGTAATAAAGAAGGAAATGTAGTGATGAGAACCAGCTTGAAGATGACCTCTACATTTTTTAGGTCAGAAACTTCCAGTGACGTCAGGGAATCCCAAGAAGGTCAACCTTACTGTGAAGTGGTCTATCACAGTGTCAGGCGGCGCGGCGGTACCGAAAGCCTGCGGATTATTTTCATCAGACAAGTTATCAAATTTGCAGTGCAGTTTCAGAATTTGGGCTTCTCTGGTTCAATGATTGATTACTTAGTCATTCATTGGTGAATTCGTTGATAAACGATAACTCAAGATCATGACTAAATTCTTTTAAAAAATCCTGAATGGATTGATGGAAATATCCTTTTGTCACTGAAAAGGGGCCGGGACACAGCGAAACCAATCGCAAGAATTCTCATTTTGATATCAGTGTATGTCAGCCACTGGTTGTTCCGTTGAAGTCCCCCATCATGTCTCTCCTTTTCTTTATCCTTTTGAAGGATAAGTGGGTCCGGGAACTTGAGGGGGGAAGGTTGGCTCATTCCATTCACAATTGTGCAAATCCATTCCCGTTGACTCCTCCCGGGTGAGCGAAAAACTGTCCCCAACAATATGCAAATACTTATTAATGTCTGTTTAATTTTTCCATCTGTAAATCTGATCTGCAAGTGTCTATATCTTTTACGTTTAAAACTTTCTGTTTTGTCCCGTAGGCATTTGTAGTCAAACCTTTATTACTTAACTAAGGGGCCGTCCCAGGGGCATAGCCGGGGGGCACGTGCCCCCCACAGGTTCCCAGTGCCCCCAAGTGCCCCCCCCTTCAAAAAAAAAACGGATGAATGGATATTGAACAAGGCTAACAAAAACTCCCCCCCCCAAATAACCATACCACTGAAAGCTGGTGCCCCCCTATGATGCTGGTGCCCCCCTATGATGCTGGTGCCCCCCTTGTGTCCCCCCCCCAGTAAAATCCTAGCTACGCCACTGGGCCGTCCATAGTAATTTTCCTCACTTTCACGAGTGTATAAACCGTACGGGAGGGGGTAAAAGACCTCGTGTAGGCTTTTTCTGAATGTGAAAAATAATGATCCGTCAACGTGGGAATCGGCGGTCACTTTCAAATTTCGCGGGTGTTGCAAGCTGACTCCTCACTGCTTCCTTCATACGCAAGTTCTTGTCTGCAGTATTCACTGCTTTTCAAGCCTTGACTTTTCAGGTGTTGTTTTAAACAATGTTTTGTTTGAAATTTACATTTCTGCTAACCCCAATACTTACATATATCATTGTGCCTCGGCAATAGGCGTTAAGGCCAATGGAGCTCTCCATCCATCATCATTTTTTTGCCCATTGATGTTCACTTTGGAAGGGGAGGGGGTACTGAAAAGTCTACTTTTTGTACGCTCGTGAAAATTATGAGAATTATGGACGGCCCCAAAGTTAGAAGGTCACTCCAATGTAGTTATATTAATATGCTACAAGTACAACCCTGAATATGTTCATTTTTAGCTCAAAGTTTCAATTTTATTGTGCTATTTCAAAAAGAATTTCAGTGCCTTGCTTTTTATGCTGATGTCAATTTCCCTATTCATGAGAAAAACTGTGATGTCGCCCCAAAGGAAAATCTTTATGTTATGTTGATGTGTGTTGAACTAATTGCTGAAATTTTTGACACTTCACTGATTTCCTTTTCTTTCCTTCGTTATTAGTGTGTAGGTAGTTGCCAATAAGTCAACGAGCAACGTTTTCTCAGAAAATGTTTCCAATGAGAAAATCCCTGGGTCAGAAACTGAACACAAAAACACAGAAGCTGAACAGTGTCTTCCACTAATTGACATCACAGAAACAGCACCCACGGTTTTTCATCAAAGCTTGGACAATTTGATACGTTAAAAAAAGGACACTTCAAAATGCTCCAAAAAGGATGTCAAAAAGTTTTAATATACACTGAAGAAGAGTATAAAGATGTGCCAATAGTACGTTAATTACCATGCATCGCCTTGACCCGTTATACCATTGCCAGATCTTTAAAAACACTTTGCATTGTGCGTGTATATTGAATCATAATGGCGCTTAAGATCGGGGTTGGTCGTAATTAAATCATCGGTTTGACGTATTATCTTGGATTGTTACTTGGCACGTTGATATTTTTTTTAAGTCAGAATTCCCATCAACTGCCATATCGCTACCAAAGTACAGAGACTGCAGAGTTGCACGTCCCGTGGGAGGGCAGTTTCTTCAAACCTCAATTTTCGTGCCTCCTCGATAAATATCAGTTCTTCAAAGATTTCCTCACTGTCACATCTATTTATCCTGTAAATGGCGCTTGAGCTGTGGGATGAACGACCACAAAATAAATCAAGAAACAAAACGTAATGGAAATTTTAAAAAAGAATCTCATAAAGTTTTGTTCATATCATGTATATCGGCCTAGTTCAGACAGTCTACGCTTTGTCAAAAATGGGATAGTGTGGTTATCCACGTGAATATAATACGAATAAATATTCACACAAAAAATATACAACATCATCACATCCATAGCCCATATTAATCTTCCAAGGCTGAAAATTTTTTCTAGGCTGAGTCTGATTCCTCATTCGAAGTGACTCCCCTCCAAAATACCTTGCTTCATTACTGTAGTGGAGTAGATGTGTGCCATAGACGACAGTTTATGTTTTCATGCTTTATCCTGTATTTTGTAACAGTTACAATTTGGGGAAAAGAAAAACTGTCAATGAGAAATTGTCGAAACATTCGTTTAACCTCCCAACACCAGTGAAAAAAAGAAACAGAATGCTGATCCAGATTTTCCTCCACAAACGAGGCCGCACAAAGAATTAATAATAGCAGATAGAAGGGATAGCAAAATCGAACGAGCACTCAACCCATTGTTCCATTCTCTATACCTCAAAGCATGCGAGGTCACTCTCTTCCAATTCATTAAATTTCAAAATTCATTTTTCAGGGAGCCAGCACCCAAGAAATTAGAGGAAAATATTAGTTACTAAAGTAACTTGTGGTAGTGTTTTGCAGTGGAAATATTATAGGGTGTATTTTTTTAACACTTTTATTGTATTTAATTTTTGTTATGGTGCCCTTTTTTGGCAACCTGTCACCGAAAACACCAGGATTTCCTCTGTCTGTTTTATTTTTATTTTTTATATTTTTTATTTATTTTTTTTATCAATATATATATTTTTTGGCATTCAATGACATCATTTGCCTCTTCTGTCGGCCTACTGCGAGTTTTAGAATGAAAGTAAGATTCCAGGGCGGGGAGGTACCGAACACTCACAGGGCAAAACCGGTTTGACAATCCACCGTGAGATGGCGCACTTCATAGAATTGGCAACGACGTAGAACAAAATTTTCGGTATCAACTCGAGTTTAGTTAAGTAATATATGAATCTGATTTATTTCGATTCAAGGATTCGGCAACAGTCACATGGAAAAAAAGCGCAAGAGCTCCTACATTTTCCGAACGCGTCTGAAATATTCCAAACTCGTTTAATTTTGTACGAATAGTGTCGTGGTTGAAAAAAATGTACGCGGACCCATCGCCTCCAAGCACCACAGTGTTCTCGAATACCAGTTCTAAACACCAAGGATCAGGTGAACAAATTAAGAAATCATATAACAAATAAAATGAGCTTTTGATATGAGGCGTAGGCCTTATTCCGTTCAGAGCACGAAATCAGCTTCAGAAGAGAAAGTTGTGTGTCTTTTGCAGTGGCGTAGCTAGGGGGCGCCTGGGGCAGGTGCCCCCCCCATGTCCGGTGCCCCTAGAAGCCCCCCCCCCTAAAAAGGATGAATGGATATTGAACAAGGCTAACGAAAGCTTGCCTCCCAGAAATTCACACCACTGAAAGTTGGTGTCCCCCCCATAATATGTTGGTGTGGCACAAAGCTATGCAAATAAAACATGCAACCAGTTTAATAGTTAAAGGGGATACAATCTGCTGGGGTAGGTATGCAGTGTCTGGGGGCGTTTAATACTCAATAGGCCCATCTATGTCAATTATGCTTGTAAAACACCCTTTTCACTTTTATGTAATTAAAAAAATAATGGCATTTTGATGCCGTTTGGTCTTAATGCTCTCACAGATCTGCTCATTCATGGGAAAAACTGTAAGTCAAACCATGATTCAGGGAAAAAATACAGCATTGATATTTGTCAGAATTATTTTACTGTCTTAAATTTTCTTTTCTCCTTTTTTTGGGGGGGGGAGTATTTTTGCTTAAGCCCCATAGCAGGTCAATGAGCAATATTTTCTCACCGACACTTTTAATGAAGAAAATTAGATTGGCAATATGAGCCAAAAACGCCCCATACAGTGTCTTCCTGAAGTTATATCAATAAATGAAAACCAACATTACTGAATGTTCTAAAGTAACATTGATGTCATGGGCTCTTTAAAGAGAGTGACCAAAGCGATTAAAAAGCTAGATATTTTATCTTCCCCTCTTGATATGATGGACTGTACTTCGAAATTCCCTTTGAAAAAAAATCCCTCAGGCGAGCGACGATTATAGCTTTTATTCAAGTCAGCGGTTTTTGTGAGCCATGGGGCCGACGCGCCACAGAGATGTCTGTGTACATGTACCCATGTCGTTTATCGCGCGGGAAATCATACATGTACGTGTTGCGTGATAGAGGGCGTGTTGCAGTTTCCGTACGTAATCACCTTACATGACATACATGTACATGGGAAACAGTAGTTGTACCGGTACATGTACAGCATGTATGTGGATTCGTTCAACTGCAGTTACTGTACTATCTTTGTCTGTTCAGTTTGAAATCGTCTCTAAACGCCTCCCCCGCATACCGTTTTATAGATAAGTAGTATTTATCCAACAAACACATGTAGTATATGAAGCGGCTGTAGGTAACAACAAAACAGCATGGAAGACCAGGAAAGAGGGAACATATTTCTGAAAATACGCAACGCCCAACTTGGAAATGCGCCCATCAGATGTGTTTCGGAGGTAGGCATGAAGTTGTGATATCCATTGCAGCTATTTCGTTAAAGTAGTCGGGTCATAAGTTAATGCCAAATCACTGTACATGTACGTCAACACATGATAGGAAAAGAGTTCCATATACGGACGCCACTAAGTCTTCCCTACAGTCACAACAGTCTAGTGATTATTAGCCACCAGAAAAAAGCAAAAACATGTCCAGAAAAGTTCAATTTACCGAGTCGTTTGCTTAGAAAACGCTCAGAATATTTCAGACTAGTTTCAAAGCACAGATGCACATCACAACATGTCACAACTTGGGGATTCTCCCTGTATTTGGAGAATCCCCTTTTGGGGAGCAATACCAGTCCCCTGAAAGAGAGAATGTCTCCTTCAAAGGGAACATTTTTTCCCAAATGAGCTTATGCCTTAGGTCAAAAAATCCACATGCTATCAATTTTTCCTCACATATTTACCATTCATATTTAGTTATTTAAGTTGTTTTCATGAACTTTGTGCCATGTCACTTGATTAACTATATCATAAAGAATTGATTTTCAGAAAAAATTGTTTTGATGCGGTCTTTTCCCCACCCTTTCATGTGCCATGGCAGACTCCTGCTCGCAATCCCAGAAGTTAATGGAAGAATTTCTTTTAAATGGCAGCCTTGGGTGTTTTCTTCTGCTGAATCCAATTAAGGCATTACAAAAAAATCCCGGCCCAATTTTGGCCCCTGCATGAGGGGCATCTGTCACAACTGTCGCATGTTCTTGATGCCAGAATGTGGGACAAAATTACCTTATATAAACTTAAACTTATAGGCACTTTAGTGGTAGGCCTATTTCGTTTTAGTTCCATTTCACAATTAGCCATGTTTGCATTGGACTTTTGGGGGTAAAACTTACAGAGACTGTTGCCAATTTGACAAGATTAAATCCAAAAGTGGACAATACTTTTGGATTGGTTCAACCAGTTCAACAAAAATTTCTTCAGGAATAAAAAAGTAAGCCCCGTAAGAAATCCATGTTTCAATGAGAACCATTGCAACAAGTTGATTTTCTTATGGAAAAAAAAAAAAGGATTCCAAACAATTAACAAGTAGAACTTGCGTAAATTTGACTGACGTTTTCAGCTGTACTGTACAAGCTGCATGTATCAATGGGACTATCCTCTATGCTACACAGTTCAGAGTGTGAAAGCATGATCGGACATTTTTTGAGCACTTATTATGTTTGTCCGAACAAAATCAAAGATGCTCGGATGAATTGTCCGACCAACACATCAATAACAGCTCTTAAAATATCAACACAATATGTGGGATTATGGGGTCTGATTTATCGTTAGTTTTGTCTTAGAATTACGTTAATTACACCCAAGGTATTCATCAGGGCTGATCGCTCATCAGCGGCCCATGTCATCCAGTGCCAGTCATGTATGAACACACGTGTATACTTTAATTGCACAGACATGAAAATCATCCCATAATTCTTTGCCCATTGTAAAACGTAGGTCATCCTGTCAAACAGTGTTCAATTTTCCGTGGTAACCCATGCATGACACATAACCTGGGCACCAGGCAATATGGACCAGTAGTGGTTGGCTGTGTTCGCGCCGTTCCTCCAGTTCAACCCGAGTGTGGTGCACGTGCATTATATTTCTATATGTGTGATGGGAGTACATGCATATATACCCTTGTTGACCCGCGGGTCGCACGCCTGCTGAACATGAGTAGCTCGACCTATACACTTACTGAAGTACAAACTTACATGTACTGTACATGTACAGTGTACATTCTGAAATAATCATAATGTTGTTGTGTGCATTAAGTGATTGAGTGATAAAAGTGCATTGTGTTCAGAGTGCACAAATTTTACACTGCATGTTACAACTTTGCCTTTTATACATGTGATATGGCAGATGAAAAGCTGGTTATGGCAGAACAAAATTGATTGTGTTATGACATTTTGTCCAAGCACTTTTTGGTCTAGTTTCTCGCTCTGCAGTCGACGAACCCATTATGTCACATACATTTCTGCTGCGCCCAAATAGTTCACAACGTTTTTGTGTGCACTTAATGGGCAATCCAAAACTATAGGAAAAAATGTATGTTCAACAATTTGGTTCTAACTTGGCCATTACTGAAATGTATGAAGTAAACAAGAATTGCACGCTTTCTTGAGACCCAAGCTGGTGACATAATATCAGATTGTACTCTCGTCATCAAGATTCTGAAAGCACATGCTACTGCATGGTCATGGAATTTCTGCCAGTCTGAGTAATCCACCTGCGGACGCACAGAAGAGAAACCATGATGGAATGTTAAGAAGCAGATGCGGTAACTTTCGTACAATTTTCGCCCAGTGCGAATGCAGCTTTAGACAATTACAGGCATGTACAGACCAGGGAACAGTCATGTGTGGCTGGCATATTCAATTTTCCCAACGTTAGTGATGAATGATCGTCTAAAAATACAATCACAATTTTTACATAAATGCTTGAAAAACTTGTTGACGCTTGTTGACGCTAAAGAGCATGACCCGTGGATTGAGGTTTCCAGGCACGCCGGGTTACATTTCAGTTTTGAAAGCGGAATTTTTTAACTCGAAAAAATTATCCCCAAGCATCATACCTATTGCAGTGCCTTCTCACAGAGCTGACTGGATCATTTGGGTTTGGATGTGCAGGTTATTAGGCAATGTAATGCAATGTTAAGCAATCTAACAGGAGGAGGGTACATGTTTGTACTCGGGGATGACTGGGCAAAACCATTATGCAAAAGTTTGGGAAAAAAATCTGGAAAAATCCTTACGATATCTGGCCCCAGTTTATTACCATGGCAACCGTGCCCTTTTAAGTTCCAGTTAAATGTAAGTCCTGATCCTGGTGGATTTTCAGTAAATACCGCCCCCTATTGATTATAATAATATGATGACCCTTTGGCATAATGTTGGACCTGTGTAGAGAGGCCATTTTGTGAACTGAAACTTGCAATTTAATTCAAACGTCTAAGGCTTTCTGTTATTCAGCCAAAATGTCGTTAAGGCAAATAATTCATAGTCAAATATCGCTTTTGTTAATTTAGAACATGCTTTGGAGGTGCTGACAGTGTGTTGATGTTGTGTTGACACTACTGGGCGAGTTTACGGTGTGTTGATAGTAATTAGTATGACTGTTGGGTCATTGTAATGCTTTTTATACCCCAGCTGTGCCACTGGACTACCCCAAATGTATCCACGGCAACTGTGTTGACAGAGTTTAGGGAGTTAGGCAAGAAACAGGGAAAGAATGTTGCATTTCTTGCATCCTTCTTTCACTTTTTTCATCGGCTTAGGCCTGTCAAGTATCATTTCAATAAAGGCCAGTCCTTGCAGAAGCCTGACAGGACATGAACCTTCGACTGAACAAAATAAAAATTTTAAAATTAAAATAGGGCACGAGAGCATGTCACAACTATCTCCCAAAAGTTACTGTAGCATGAATGTTTGCGGGTCAGCGTTTGCCCCAAGACAACTTTGTGCAGACACAAAAAGATTCAAATATAAATCTTCTCTTAAATTTAAATAAATTTATTATGACATGTAACTTACAACTGAATACTATGATACAACAAAAAACACCAAAGTAATTATCTGTTAGTATCTACAAATATTTACAAAAGTCAATAATGGTGTATTCCACGTGAGACCGAAATTAAGTCTATAATAGTCTGCGTTCGGAAAACGAAGCAAGATATATAACTGAAGGAAATTTAAATGGTTTCTGTAATTACTTCTGAGTTGTAAAGACATAAAGAGAATTACAATCAATTTTTGCTATACGCTTAATGCTAATTCTTCACCTGTTAATTATTGAAACCTTACTAAAGCCGGCAATAAGATTTTAAAAAAGAGTACTCATTTATGTAGGGCCCACCACGAGTAGAATACGCTTTCCACATCAAAGACCATCCCCCCTTGCCTGAACCATCGGCTTGAACCTTGCGGCGGAACCTCTGAGTAGGTAGCCGGGAAAATTGTCAGCAGTGTCACGCTTGGCTAGGTTCTTGGTGGCGGTGCCAGTCAGTGTTTCAGCTCGCGTGCAGCCAGCCTCGGGCCTGTCTGCCTCGGGCAGTCAGTAGGGCAGTGGAGGTCACAGTACAGCACTGTAATCACTAGGGCTAAAAGTCACCTGATGCCATCCAAAATAATATATGTGTAACATACATTCAGATCATAATTCCACAGCCTAGATTATTTGCGATTGAGGTAGTGATAACATTAAATACAAACAATTGCATGTATATTGATCGCCTAATGAAAACACTCCAAAGTTACTGGATTAGAATTACAAATTTAGACCACTTAATATTAAGTAATAAAAAAAATATTTATAATATCCCCATCAATCAGTTCCTGATTGGAAACAGTGAATCTTCTGTGGTCACTTCGGTTGACTGGAAGTGGTACATGTACTCAAGATCAAATATATAAAACAGGAAAATAACAGAAAATTTCATAAAATCAGAACCTCAAACTACGGTCTGATAGCAGATCAAATGCGTGGCTCTCTCAGAGACCATCACCATTCCAAGACTTGGCTTTCCGGCTGAAAATTTCAGAAACTTAGCTTATAGCAAAATATTGCAGCCGTCATGTCTGAGGCGATCGGTGGCAAAAGCGTTTTTCAAAAAATCGCGGGCTGTAAGTCACTTGTCACAGGCATTATAAAAACCCAGTGTCGCATAAAATAATAAAGAGATGAGACCATGGCAAAATGAATATGTATACTAACTAATGTATTATCTATTTACACGTTAGGACACTGCAGGTATGAATGATACACACAACACATGGATGTTGACGAACACAAATCAGACTTACTGAAGCGTAAAGTAGGGTTCTTGTTTGCTGGGGCAACATTGACTGAGTACTGAAATGAATACGTCACGCACACAACTATACGTGTAAAAGGCATTAGTGTAAAAACGAGCATGTGTGAACTAACGTGTGCGTACTCCATTCGTTTGTGTGGCACTTCCTGTTTCTAAATGACGTTGCACTTCGGTATTCTATAAGATTTTTTGGGAGGGAAGGGAAAGGAAAAGAATTCAATACATTTATGGACATCACTTGACACCTTGTGTACAAATCCCATGAGACTGGTCTGAAAAATTCCAAGCATTTTTAAGTAAATGCCTCAATATTTTTCCTGCTTAATTTGACTCTGTAGGACACGTTATCGCTTTCTTGTGGCTAATGTAGGGACAAATAAGCGTTGTTCACATACATTCATGGAACTCTTCCCAAGAGGAAATAAAGTCTGAAATTGTAACTACTAATTTCATCTTACGAATATGAATTTATGGTGACAATGTAAGCATGGAACCAGAAAAGATTGGTGATGATAAAATGTCGAAGTCCCCCCAAAACACTCACTTCCCATGTTCAGTTGATGTGCTGGTCAAAAAAACACAAATCATTAACTGTCTTGTTTCATTAATAATTATCATTATTTGTGATAAATCTACACCATTAATGGTCAGTACAATCATGGTATACTGTGAATCTGACATTTAGGAAGAGAATCAACACAGGTCAGATTTTGATAGAAATTGGCCTTGGATATATACATGTAATTGCAATATGACTTTGAATCGCCCCTCAGTTCAGTTGTTTTCTCTGTATTCAGTTTTGTATTTGCATGGTATTGAGCATGTGCAGTAACTGCTGTTTAGATTTATCATTGTTTACCTGACAAGTCTTCCTCTTGGCTTGTTGTTGTCATGATTGGCTTGATATTTATGAGGGTGGGACTCATCTGTCCAGACCCCATCATGCCAGTGCAGTTGTCATGATTTTGGACTTTAGTTCCCTTTAATCTTCCAGATCAGGAAAAGAAAACGATATTATCATACATGTACATATCCTATTACATGTAAATGCACATATATGTAAGATTTGATTTTATAAACGAAGGCTTTCGTATTTCAACAAATGCACCACTTGGACTCGTTTCCATGGCCCCAGCTAGGAACACTTGCAGTCACAAGGCTCACATAACCAGGAGCAAGTGGGAATTACAGGAAGTATTTTATGGTATTTACCAACTTGCAGAAGGAGCTGTACTTGTGGCTAGCAGTAAAGTAAAAACAAATGCAGGACCTACATAATTAATGGATTGTTGCTCGACTGGTTGATCCATCAATTCTTCCACCATCAGCCAACCACCTTTTCTACCTGTAGGTCATGGCTGTGAAAGATTTGTGGAAGAGGAAATGTAAACTCTTGAGATTTACTACAGGATGGATAGATAGCGCAGCATAACTGATCATGGCAATCAAGCGATTATGCTTCATATTCATGTATTTGATTTCAAGCCCTGAAAAGAATTGCAGAACAGTCTGCAACTCATGTGTGCCTTCTCACAGCTTATGTATGGAATCACGTTGACTACTACACACCCATATTAGCCACTTCCTGCCGGTTGGGGTTGGCAGCCTGCATCATCTGCTGTCGAGTGCTTTTTCATTTTTTTCTGTTTTCAAAATTCTTCAAAAATTCATATCTTCATTTACTGGACGTGTACACCCAAATGAATGACTGTCTTGTGGCGACTCTAATCTGACAGGCAACCTCCATTGACGCGTAAGTATTGCAGCCACACCTGCCACCCAGTAAAGGGCCCCCATTGTGTGGTGTCACGTAATTTCGTCTTTGCTGTGCTGGATGGCGGTGTTGCTATGCAGAGCGATTGACGGTCAATTAGCGTGTGGGCCGTGAGGGTGAACCAGGCCATTCATCAGCCACACCGGTGTAATGCGTGCTGCACGGCGGTATCGTCTGTACAAATGCGGCCAGATTCCATGAGCGCGCAGCTGTATTGCATAGCTCATGGCTGCAATGCTGGAGCACTTTTGTCGCCTGCTGATAATCTACTTGCGCTGGCAGCGGCAAGCAATGGCACTGTTTCAAAACAATGATGGATTACCCGCGCCAATGTCAGCACTCTGCGCTGACAGCCTATGAACCTTCATTGGCAAGTTCTAGCAGCTCAGTCGTTGTTAAAAGAAAGTTCCAATTTCAGGCACCCAAGCTATGAAACACCACACTGTGTCTCTGGTACTGGGCACCCCAGCGGCAAGTGGTTAAACATTTCATTCTAAATGTAGTGGGACCCCATTTCGTACCCATGTAGTCAGCAGCAGGGTAATCAGTTCGGACGTAAAATTTTCTGTAGCAACCCTCATTCCATGTGTTACACGTCGTTTTTTGTTTTTCACATCATTCTTTGACCTTCACTTAATGAAAAAGAGTCAACTGTATTTTTTTTTAGAAAACTCATCCTAAAGAACGATTTCTGTCTTTGCTGATGTACGGTTATTTTTCCTTCATTTGCCAGATTCCCCAGCCAATTCTAGCAGACTGCGATGACCGACTTGGCCTGGAGAATGGAGAACAGATCCCTGCTCGTATCAGTGGCCTATATCAATGTGCCCAAAATCTGCTGGACAGACACCGGACAACCAATGAGCAATACCTACTCTGCATAAGCAAGCTGAAGGTCAGGGTCTTAAAAAGTGTCTCTCGCACTTTGTCTTTGCGTTGTTTCTTGACCTGATCAAAGTTATGATTCAAAGGAAAACCAAAGCGCTTTGATTTCAGGTAAAGTGCTGAAAAAAACAAAACCACAGACCAGGGGTCAAAATTAATGATGGTCCGCTGGCCCGAGGCCAGTAAAAAAGTCGGCGGACTACAGTAGCTGATCTAATAAAACTGGTGGTTTGGTGGGCCAGTTGAAATTTGATGTCTTTTCTGTCTTCACAAATATCTTTCAATAACCTTTTTTCACGTTAAAATGCTTGTTTTAAGAAAAAAAAAACATTATTTTCACAAGTTTCCATTCACGTTTCACTACCGCAGTGGTGAAAACACGTGTGCAAAGCTCAATGCATTAAACGAAGCTGCTCTGGTTCCCGCCGCACCACACCCATGCAAAAGAATGCATGATGGAAATGTAGGAACCAGAACCAGTCTGTATTGTACATGTCCACTCTACACTGGCCGTACATGTCACGGATGCAACCCTAAAAGGCTGCAGGCCGAAAAGACATTGATGTTGTAAGAGGTTTTCTGCAAGTTAATTCACTGAACTTGGTCTCTTATTTATGTATGTACATGTTTTTTTTGCATTCATGAGTTTAATTTGAGGTTGTTCTGCTCATGGCTCTGGCTCAAGGTTTATCACCAACTGGTCCTGATGCATCACGCACGCTTACCATGCGATACATGGACATTGTTGGCCAGTTTGCTGTCGCTATCGCCTGAGTAGCACTGTGTGAATTGTTTATAGTTTTCTTATGAATTGTCGAATGTAGACATTTTTACATAGATTAAGATAGGTGTTAATCACTTTTTGAGATAATTTTGGAAGCTGTCATCCCCATTGATGCCATTCAATCAGCACAAAAAATTGCCCCCCAAACAAAAAAATTCTGACCTACTGACCCTATTTTTTTTTTTTTTGAGGCATGGCACAACTGTTTTGAGGCCTAATAAAAGACTGCATGTATTGCAGTAGGCCTAAGTTAAATAACCATAATTATCGTGGATTCCGAGAAATCTTGGGCAAGTGTTGATCCTATTCGAGCAAGCAAATTCACGGCATGGCCTGCCCCATCAGGCAAAAAAAAAAAACAATTTGTCGCAGCCTGCGCCGTAACAAGGATTGCTCAAGCGGCTGCGTGTTCAGTTCTGGTATGGGACCACCAAACCTTCAGCAGGACCAGTGAAAATTTGAAAGTACTGGTCCTGCTGGCTACCAGGAAAAAAAGTTAACTTCAACCCCTGCAGATTAGAAATTTGAGATGAGATGTTGGTCGCAGTGTTCTTTTCAGAAGCGAAGGGGTAAAGTCACATGTTGTACAATTTGGTCCATTGTCATTATTTTGTCTCATAACTGGAGAAACCTGAATGAGACTGATCGGTGTTTTTCATGCTCAGTTGATTTACTGGAGATAAACTTATAGCTCTGGTTTCATACAGTTTTCTTGCAGGGTGAGCATTTTCCCTTGAGGTTGTAAATTTCGACCCTAGTCCCATACATGGTTGACTTCGGCCCTGAATGGGACCAAACATTCACCACTTGCATCAGCCACACCACTCTATGGTGTGACGAAAACAGTCGCATTTGCGCCTAAATATAATGATGTGCGACCAACTGTTTAATTCTTATCGCCAATGGCAACCATGATTTGTACCTGTTAGTTGCCCACCTTGTCAGTCATATTTCATGAGTGATTGCTGCCCAGTTTTCTTGTATGTGCACCGAGCAATTTGCCTCTACATGTATATGATCACATGGTTTTTCTCCGTCTTACTATGTACACAGCATGAGCCCACGTTAACTGCAATGTACCCGAGTCAACTGGTTTGTGGTCGCACACTGTGTAGTATAAAAGTGTGCGAGGGAGCTGAGATATTTTGCGTATTCATAATGCACTAGCAGTCTATGCACGCCACGATTCCAATGGAATAAACTTGTTTCAGTCCCAAATGTACTTGAAATATGAAACCAAATTTTCCCACGGTCCGGTCCAGTCCCAATCCCAGGTACGAAATGCTCAAACGTAAGAGAACAAACATGCCTTGTCTTTTCAACAGCTTTTTTACCATATAATTGGTTGTCATTTTTTATTTATTCCACAAGCACAAAATCCAAAACCTGTCTGTTCTGCGGACAATTGACAAAATAATGTTTCTGTGTGTTTTGTCCAATTTTGTACTTGCACATGTAACTTGTATATTTTGCAAATGTGTGTTCAGTATGTACAGAAATTGATCTTTTTTTTCTTGGAGCCAGTGGCTCCTCATTTGAATTTTCTCCGTACAGCACTGGTCAGCCAGGAACCATCCTTGACATCTTGTCTCATTCATGATTTGAAAAAGCCTTATGACCCAAGACAGAACAATCAGAGGAGCTCTGTTGTATTTATGTAGAGCTTTTAATCTGGCAATTTAATGTTCAGACAGGTGAGAACCAGTGTCAAAATCTTTGGTTGCATGTTTTCAGTATGTCTCTGCTTTTGACAGTTTCTAAAGAGGCTTCTCAACTCTGAGAGTTCCCAGGAATACCCCCGTAGGAGTGGTCAGACACGAGAAAGTCGAGTCATCCATGCTGAAGTCATCTATCTGTTTGGAGGAGTCGAGGTAATGGGAATACACTCTAACTGCTGCAAGTACTAAAGAGCACTCTTTGTTTTGAAAAAGCTGTCTTTGTGATTTATTGGATGACATTCATTGAAGGAATTTTGGGCAGCAGAGTAGAACATGTATGTGTGGGATACGAGGGGAAGAATTTGGCTTTTCTTTAAAGAAACAGGCTGTATTTCTTAATTTATCAATTCACAAAATTGGTTGCATCACTGAGCTGAATTGTGTGTTTGTCAGGCTTAGTTGACTTCCCAATAAAGCAGGATCAAATGTAAACTTCAGTTTTAAGTTCCAGAAATACTGGTGCTTGTAGGCTCAGTCATGCTGTGCCATTGCTGTATTATCTGATCACATACTCACATACCTGTACCTACATCAGCAGAAGTGTTTGTGTTTACAGTTGATTTCAGATGTCAACAAGCAGCCAGCATTTGCCATTTTTCTGTTGGTCACGTGTGATTCTCTGGTTGCTCAGTTCTTGGAACTTAATGACTCCAATGGAAGTTGTCAACAGTACTATGGTGTCATGTTGACAGTGTGTCTTTGTCATGTCGACAGTGTGTCTTTGTCATTTGTAACTTGTACGCTGTGTGACACTGAGTGCTCCTTATTATCATCAACAGGTGATGGTACAGCTGCTATTGTTACCACAGTATTACCCTCTACTTAAGTCGGAGAATTCTAAGGCATTTAAAGCAGGTAAGAATGTCAGGGTATTTGGAGCTAAGGTTTTTTGGGGTGCACAAAATAACACAAAAGATATCAAGAAGTAAAGGGAATTGTACTTCTCGGTTTCCTTAAATCAGAAAATGTCTGTATTAAAAAGACAAAGTAGGAAGAACAAGATTTTTTCCCCTTGTCAGAAAATTTTATTACATTCCAAGTAGCCATACATTTTGTGAAATTGAAAACTGATAACAAATTACAGCAATGTATGTGTAGCAAAAGACAAAAAATACAAAGTTTTATGTGTTTAAGTGAGTTGATTGGTTTATATAAATGTCACAGTGTTCTCGTATTGTTTTCATGGGATTCAAAATCTGTACATTGACAGCTGAGGATATGTAAAAGTCAATTTAATCACTCTCCAGTTGACAAGAATTCCTTTGAAAAAAATGTCAGTAAATGATGTTTCATTTTTGAGTGTGTCCTCTTTTCCGTGTGTTGCAGAATCAGAGCTAAGGACAAGATTAGCGTACCAAGTACTGGATGTCTTGCATTTCATGTGCATCTGTGTAAGTACATGTACATACATGTAGCAAAAAGGTTGGTCGATAAGTGGCTACAAATTATGTTCATTGTCAAGACATTGGTAGACTAATAAGGTTGACCAAAAGTAGTTTGAATATTTATGAAGCTAATAATTTTGCATGTTTTACTTCTTTGCTCTGTAAATAATAGCCATAATGCATCTTAAGCCAGGTTTCCACATCGATGTAAGAAACCGGAGGCGGAAATATGGAAACTTGTTGTTGCCGACAATGCATACAAATGCAAACTGGCCCGTGAACGATCGGTGAAGTTGAGCCAGGTTCAACTTTGCCGACTGCCTGTGTCTAGTAGGTGTGGTATCCAAATACAAACACGCATGCTGGTATGACTGGCGAGCAACGATATCCCTCTTGCTGAGTTCCATGAATTTGGCCCATTTTCTCCTTAATGCTTAAATATTACACCCCAGGTTTGGTATCATGAGGCAGCACAGTCAATTTAAAAGCGCATTTTCCGAGAAAAATCACAGAGTTTCGGACGCCATTTTGTTTCAAATTTTGGGTGGATTGACGTCACGCACCGTCTCTTCCATTCGTGTCTGCATCTTCACGTCTTGCATTCTGTCCGCAAACGACCATATGGAAACCAGGCTGTACATGTAGTTTGTATGTACATGTACGTACCAGTCCCCTAAGCCTCCCAGAACCTTGCTCAGTGCAGTTAACAGGTCAGCTCTCCTAGGACAAAGGAGCCTTTTGTCTGAGGTCACCAGCTACCACAGGATTCAGTAGTTGATAGTGTTGAGTTGGTCATCCCCGTTAACTCAGCATTGGCACTTCATCCTGGTATTGTTGACTTTCTAGTTTTACATTCAGCAGGGTTAGGGTGTTGTGTTCAACACCTTGTGGGCAGTTGCTCTGTGTTGTTCCCTTGGCCGTGAAAATTCCCAACGTACTACTAGATGAGGTCACCTGTTAAGCATCCTTCATTACCTTGTGGTTTGTGCACAGAACTCATTCAATAACAAAATTAATCATCTAACCACGAGGCTTGCGTACTTGAACTGACGTTGAGATTTATCCTCATCAGTTTGAGAAAGTGTCTTCTCTTGACTTCTGCGAGTTGCTCTTGTGGTAACCTTAACCAGTTCATGCCAGAGGACTTATATTGTCAGCAATCACGGGGACTGTTGATGGGTGAAACAACCGCGTGTGCCCTTAGTCACTGCAAGCAAACTTGTATTCATGCTTATCCCCCATTTGCTTCATACACACATGCATGCACAAAGTCCAACAAGTCTGTGGAGGTGGACTGGCCTTGTTGTAAACTTGGCTGCTGTACATGGCCTGTGATTGAAGCAAATAAGGCCCCAGTGCGGCACGGCCACTTAAGAGGTTGGCGTAAGAAGTATCAGACAAATCGTCGCACATCTGACAAACCAGCAAATCAACCGTTCTGGTGGTTTTTAGATTTCATCTCATGAACTGATGAATAGGTTTTACAGCAGTTTTCAAACAAAATATTGCTTATAGAGCCAAAAAATACAGATTAGGAAATGATTTCAAAAGGCCAATTTTGTATCTTTTATGCACAGAGATCAAAAGGGTTGAATTAAATATCAAAAATGAGCACACAGTAACTACTTAACTGAAAACGTGTTTTTCTCAAAAACAATGATATTGTTCACTCAACTGTAAGAGGAAATATGTGGCCATTTGGCTGTATGTAAAATGTTGGCTGCTGTACCGGTACCCTGCCTTGTTTTGAAGGCTGAAATATTTGGCTAAAGTTACACCGTCAGCTGCTACACAAAACCCACAATGCATTGCATACATTGTTTTTGTTTTTTCATATTGAAACACTAGAGTGTATTATATTGAACTTTGGCAGATGGGTCCAGACATCGCAGGTCCCTTGTCAGAGAGGGAAGGTCTTATCCTACATCTGTTCAGCCTCATGTCAGAGAAGGCCTGCTTCCTGAAGGCGGCTACACTCTTGGAAGACATTCTTGGTGTCAAGCAGACTATGATCTCATTGGACAAAATACGTAAGTGCTCTGTGTGGTTGTTGAGTGTGATGGACTGGTTTATGTGGGTGGAGTATTATATTTGGGGTTATTTATTTAGTGTGCTCATACAACAACTTTGAATAATGTCTGCAGAAAATGAAATACTAGATGGTTGCTGTGTAGGTGTAGAGTGTTACATCTATGATATTGACAACTTGATGTGTACAAATCTGAACAAGTAGGTAAATTGGACGTGCTGAGGAAATGGAAAATTGCCGTGTTATGAGGGGTGCGCTGAAAAGAATTGAAAATCGATGAGAAAAGTGGAATGAAAATCACAGATTTCAAATCTTCAAAATTCAATTCCTAAGCAAACTCGTCATTACAACGGTGTGCAAAATACATGTGTGAAATGGGCTTCCAGAGCTCATGGCTGCATCTATTGTCAGCACATCCTTGCCTATTTGCAATGGAGCGAAGACCCCAGACCTACTTCTACACAACAGACACTGATGCAAGGGATGCTTTACTGTGTGAGTAATGAGTGTTTTCTTGTCACACTGGAATCAATGGCACAGCTAAGCTAGACAGCCTGGTCGATAGCTTTGATGAGGAGCAGGTAGCCAACTTCTGTCGGGTCCTCTCAATTGCCGTGTCGGACACTGATGGTAGAGATGAACAGCTCAACCTAGTGGCCCAGGACAGGGCCAACCGCAACCGGACTGGGGTGCCGATTTCAGACCTAAACCAAGGTTAGTGGTTTGCTGAAAGGGACACGGTGTTGTAGTCAGGACCACTTAAGACCTTCGCAAGACCTTCACAAGACCAACACAAGACCTCCAGTCTGAATTCAAGTCACAAGCTATTCAAATGAACTGCAACAAAAGCATTCCTTTGTCATTGTTCACCCCGCTACTTGTGACTGGTCTTGTCCATTGTCTTGTGTCTGGTCTTGTGCATGGTCTTGTGCATGGTCTTGTGCATGGTCTTGTGCATGGTCTTGTGTCTGGTCTTGTGTCTGGTCTTGTGTCTGGTCTTGTGTCTGGTCTTGTGTCTGGTCTTGTGTCTGGTCTTGTGTCTGGTCTTGTGTCTGGTCTTGTGATGGTCTAGACTACAACACTAGAGGGACTGGGCTGCTGTGCTGTTAGATGTTTTCCCCAACCGAAAACAAAAGTCTATCATTTGTGCGGCCTGCAAGTATGGAATGTGACTGTTGACTTAGCAGCTTCAGAGATACAGATATCCGTGAGGGTGTTGTTCCAATGGTGCTCTGTGACTTGTCAAAGTGTATACGCACCTTGAGTTTAAGAACACACAGTGAGTGTAGTGCAGCCACAGTAAATGGCATCTCCTAGAATCAGTCTATATGTGCCATGGACTCTTCCTTTAATACAAATTGACAATGACCATTCGCATTGTGGGTAGATACAGTGTATTTCAAGCATTCCTGTTTTTTTCATCACCATCAGTGCACTTTTTTGTAGGCTTCCCACCAATTAGGTAATGAAGTCATATATGAAAAAAAGAACTAATGGAAAAAGTCAAATAGTCCTTTAAATGTACACACCTCCCATGGTATGTTACTTGACACTTTTCCTTGAATGTAAGAACAAGATACTCTGTATCAAGCGAACCTCGATAGTATGTAGTGAATTCAACCTTTTTGTCTAATTTTAGTCTCAAAATTGTGTACATGTTGCTTTACAAATTCATGCCGTGTGTAAGTTACATGTACAATGCATACAAATCACAAGCCTGCCATGGTCTTTGTCTTTAGAAAGGAGGGCAGTCAACAGTTGAACAAAAGGTACAAGATGAAACCTGTAGTTACATGTTCTTTTTTTTTTTTCCTTCCAGAAATTCTCGTTGGGCTTCCAAATTTTGTCATGAAGTTAGTACAGATTGCCTGCAAGAGGATAGGTAAGGCTGAATCCCGTCAGCATGTAGCCCATACACAGAGCAGCACAATCAATTTACATTGATCTTGGGATTCGCGGGTAGCCTGTTAACACTTTTCTCCAAATTTTGACTGAAAGATCCAGAGCTCTGACTTCGTTACTTCTTTGAGATTCAGAGCCCATGTTGATTGGAGCACAGTGAATATATCATGGGATTTAATGTACAGTGCTGTATTTTGGATGATTTGGGAGAGTTTCTTTGGAAGCCGCGATGGGATTTCGGGGTAATGATTTTGATAGCGAGATGATTCTTCAAGCAAGTATCTGATTTCCAGCAAACACTTCACGATTGGCCTTTAACCCCTTTGTACGGAGGACTGCTACTGCACCGTTGTGTGAGCATTAGTGCATACCACACATACAGTCTATTCACCATGCAGCTGCTGGTTCAATGGGGCCTGCTGCTGGACAAAGCCCTCCATTCAGGGCATACCACAGCCCAGCAGTCGCTGTCAAAATAAACCTGCCGTGAAGGGGTTAAAAAAACACTTGATAAGTTCAGTTTGTTTATCTCACTGTGGAATCTGTAGTCTGAAATTACATAACATTGACTGCAAAATGACAAACCTGCTTCATCTGTCATATTATGTTAAGCAATTGTGGACAAACGTTGAATTGTCGTTCACAGAAAAAGTATGGTCAATGTGTGAAATTGAGCAGAGTTCAAAGCTGAACGATCATAGACAAACTTGAGTCGGGGTTATGGAAAATTCATGAATTTGTAGAAGAATTTAAAGTTCACCATTTATGAATTTCAATAAAAAAAGTTTTAAAATGTACAGGAAAACCTATACATGATTTCATACTTTCATAGCCTCTGTTAAACACACACGCAACCGGATGCTCGGCATTCAAGAGCTCTTTCAAGGAGTTTTGGTTGTTGCTTTCAGACACACCTTCAACAAGCAGCATCCCCAACCTATACAGTGAGATTGAGGGCTGGGTGACGTGGCTGGATAGCTCCCTTGCCTTTGATGCTCTAGCCGAGGTAGCCACTGAAGAGGAAGTCTTCCTGAATCTACCCTTGAATGATTTGTCAGCGCCCATACCCCAGTCACTGAAGACCATGCATGAACTAGTGTACAAAGTAGAGGTGTTGTACGTTTTATGTCTTCTGCTAACGGGCAAACAGCGTACAAAGGTATGGAACAGATAACTTCGGAATTGCAATCCATTTTTCATATTTCCTGTGGATTTGAATTGCTGGACATCCATGACAATTGTTCCGTGGGGTAAAGTTTCCCTCGGAAAACCTCTTGAGTGATTAGTTGTTGTAAGGCTTATCATTGCCCATCTTATAGCTGTCAGGATTTTCTGATGCAACCAGTGGGCCAGGTCACCAGGTTTGTCAGTTTCAGAGCTAATGCCATCTGAAACACTGGAAAGGTGCTCGAAACAATTTCATCTGAGAGTTCTAGTGCACTTCAGGTCATTTCGGAGTGCATAAATGCTTACACAATGCACTCCATGCACCTGTATAAAACATTTTTCCCTCCAATTTTGAGGCTTAATCATGATTTTTTTCCATCTACAAAACATTTTTGTAGATGTGAAAGTCTTCCAAGGGACACACATTTTTGTTTGTTTTGTTTGCATTTACGACTTACAAGCTGGTTCCATTTATAGTTATTTCACCTTTCAAAGGTGTAATTTCCATTCTGGTATATCACTGCACATGATGAAATCAGCATGATTTGTTGAACCAGTGAAAATTGAAGAATTAAATGGCGCAAATGAAACTAATACAAATTAAATAAGGGAATAAGTAAGTGTATTTTACTGGGAGAATTGGATTATGAAGATAGTCGCAAGTGATTAAGAAGAATGGTTATGAGAATCAGTCCAGGGGTTGTGATGACCTGACTGAAAAGTTGAAAATGTAGGCTGACTCTGCATGTAGAACTGTTGATGAATAGGCAAGTCAACCAAAAGAGATAAAGATGGGCTCAAATGTAGATTAGAGGGAGCATAGTGACCGTAGTGAATTGTGCATAGACCACAGATTAACCACTTGCTGCCGGGTGGATTTTTCTTGAGTAAGACAAAATACCGTGTCCTTTTCAAGATTTTCCATTTTCAAAATTCTTCAAAAATTCATCATTTCATTTAATGGCCATTTATACCCACATGAAGGACTCTTTGGGCTTTGATTTTTGTCCCCGGTGGCAATCTGCTCGCTCTAAATGCCTCAAACCGTGGTATACTGTTTCAAAACAAGGCTGGATTATCTCCACTATTGAGAGTGAAAAAATGTCGGTAATTCCCAGCAGCTCAGTCTTTTGTGCTGAGCACGGTCTTTTGTTATAAGGCCCAATTCTTTTCTCCGGACTCCCCAGCTCTGCATATAAAGCCTATGTACTCGAAAACAGGTTGCCCGGCAGGAAGTGGTTAACATCTGCAGGGTTCATATGGCCTGGAAAAGTCATGGAAATTTGTTTTCATTTTCCAGGCCTGGAAAAGTCATGGAATTTGTAAAAAAATACTTAAAGTCATGAAAAAGTCATCAAATTTTTCAAACACTGTGTGATTTCTGTTATCAGAAATAAAGTGCATAACATGCTTGATTTTAGTTGCAACTTTAAAAGTCCAAAGAGTTCAAGAAATTGCATTATTGGGTCATGGATTTTCATAATTTGGTCATGGAAAAGTCATGGAATTCAGTTGTCCTTTAGGTGCCGGAACCCTGCATCTGTAAGAACGGGAGGCAGTTCATTGAAAGCTGTGACACATTTGGGTCTGGACAGTGTCACTTAAGTTCAAGTTTTATTTTAGCATCTTTTTTACCAGAGGTTCATATTTGCACACATATACAGGCAGTTCTCCTTTCAATTGCACTTGTCTGTTGTTTATTACCAGGTTCATGAAATGTTGTCCAAGTACAAGTTGATGGCGGGTCTGAACGTCCTGTTTGATAAGGTCATCTGGAGATGTAACCTAAGATCTCAGCCTATGCATGGACTGAACGAGAACTGTGACTGCAGTCCGGAGGTGGCGCTCAAAGTACAGTTCCTGAGACTGGTCCACAGCTTCTGTGATCAGAACGAGTGAGTCAGGTTTTTTCGACGTTGAAGACAGACCCATATCAACAGATATGTGACTCAGCCTTAGTTACCTCAGACCCAGGTTTTGGTAATGAAATTCAGTGAATGCTCACTGAATCCATTACATATCTGACTTATTTCCCAGTGTGGAGTTCTTAGACAAAACCCTTAATTTTAGCCTCTCTCTCTTTCCCAACATCACCTTGTCATTGCACCCAACTCCTCCCTGAATGTTCAAGATGATATATGTTGAGTTTTACACAATGGATCAAGTTACCAAAAGTAGCAGTGGACAGCACAGGAAGACTAGTTTAATTTTTGTTCAACTGCTCTTTCTCTTTGCTTCAATTTGAATGTATACAACTTATCAAAACTTCATTTCTGTGCAAGTATGTTTGTACACTTCCCTCTGACTATACTATAAATCAAACTTCTAATGTCAGGAAATATACAGAAATGCTTCTTGTATTTTCACTTACCAGTACTAGATCTTTCATCTTCTACTCCAATTGTAGCATTTACGGAACTCTCTCTCTGCTGAGTTTAGCATTTACACAGCTCTGTTCTTACCCTTTTGAAGGAATAAGTACCTTATACTTACAAGAAGTGAGATCAACGAGTTGAACAGAATATCAACCAGTGCCAACCTTCCACCATTAGAGGCAGTCAGAGACATTGATAGGTGAGTCAGGGTATCAGACTATATTTTGGTTGGCTAAGAAACTGGTACATCAGCATGTGGTATTGATAGAGAGTAGATGACTGAGTTTGCCAAAATTCCAGTGCAGAAGCATTGTGAAGGTCTTACCATAAGTTAACCACGGTTAAAGTGCTTCAAGAAATATATGCCTAAGGTTACCTCAATTTATTTTGATGTATTTATTTATTTATTTATCAGATCATCCAACAGCGCAATCTAGCGCCAATTACAAGATGATAATGAGTGAAGAAGGCAATGAAGAAATGTTCAGTTTTAGATGTGAGAGGGAAAACCCCGGGTAAATGTTTCGGGGGAAACCCACAGACTCAGGTAGGGACTGAAAACCAAATCCACATCTGGACCGAGCCAAATTCGAACCCAGGCTCCCAGAGGTGGAAGGTGAGAAAAGAAACGCTGCGCCAACCTGACTCCCCTCTTTAAAATCGATGAATCAGAACCCTGAAAAAAGCTATTGCAAAGCATTTGTTTAATCGGACGTGAGCATTCAGAGCTTTTTTCCAATGATGTTTTGCAGTCATTTTGAGACTTATTTTAGGATAGGACTTGCTGTTGTCTTAAGATGTCCAGTTTTCCAAGAAAGGCCAAAAATTATGACATTTTCCGTTGGCATGTGCCCAGTATTCGTGTACAGGCTGACCTGTGTTAGATTGTGAGCTGTAATCTTCATAACTGTAAAATTCTTTGTCAGATTGAATTGAAACATCACAGATGTACTCAAAATGCAGGCATGCGTGCACCTCACGTTTAAAAAAGAGATTAGTCATGAGGCAGCAAAGGTGGGGGGTTCGGCTTGGACTGTGAAAAGGTCTAAATAACTCAGCCCTGTCAGGATTTAATAGCCCTTCAAGTTATTTGCCTTGAAATCGTCCTTAGTCCTCCTAAAAAATCTACCGTTCAGGCAGCCACTCGCACATTGGCTACACTTTAATTTTCCTGGGATATGAAGCCCCATGTCAAGTGACTGACTCTCCCCAAAGGTATCACGTCTTCCTAGGAGAAATCAATTGTGTAAACTACCACCCAAATTGACAGCTATTAATTGACTACAAACAGAGTCGAGAGCAGACACTTTCATTTGTATTATTCCATCAGTTTAGCTTATTTCTGTTTCCTGGTCATCATTTGCACAGGTCTTTGCTGTGTACGGGGCCAAAGGGAATCTTAACCAAGCTTGTTGATGTACTTAAGAAGGAGCCTGCCGAGTCACCATTCAGGTACCATTCTCATTCCAGTGCCAGCTTCAAACAAGAATCAGTATGTGTTGTAGGAGAGGCTGCAATCTCATCTGCTTAGGATAGTCACATGTGTAGTCTGTAAAAAAAGCCATGCCAGGCTTGCCGCGACCTGGAAAAGCTATGAAAAAGTCATGGAAATTTGTTTTCTTTTTCCAGGCCTGGAAAAGTCATGGAATTTTGTAAAAATGACTAAAGTCATGGGAAATTCATGTAATTTTTCAAACACTGTGTGTGATTTCTATTAACAGAAATAAGTGCATAAAATGCATGATTTTATTCGCAACTTTGAAAGTCCGAATAGTTCAAGAAATTGCATCATTGGGTCATGGAGTTTCTTAAATTGATCATGGAAAAGTCATGGAATTTAATTGTCCTTAAGGCGCAGGAACTCTGCATGCACATAAATTGCATCATATCACTTCCTTGATGTCATGTGTAGGTTTATGTTTAGGACATATCTACTCCTTGATAAAACCCTGCAACTTTTTCATCTCCTATCCCACACGCAAGCCGAATCACAGTAATAATCCAATGTCACACTGTTAGAATCTATTCCATATTGGGGCAACCTCTCACCCTAACAAACTGGTTCTTGACTGCCTGTGGAATATGAAACCTGTCTGTTTTACCCCCTCGAGGGTACATTGCTCTAGATGCATGATACCCCTATGGTGTAAAAAATGCATTGTGGTACTCACTAGTGTCAATTATCTCCCTACCGTGTCTTAAATGTGTAGTTTGTATGTCCTCTGGAAGTGAATAGGGCCAAGCCATACCCAAATACCTGACTATCAAGGTCGGGAACAGATTCTGAATTGTGGGACTGGTTAGTCATGACCAACATTAAGAATTGCATGATAGCTCACTGAGGAAGAAGAAAGATTTCAAGAGGTTTTTTGTTTGGTAAGTGCATATGGAACACCAAAACAGATTTTTCATTCATAGCCATGTCGTTACTGGGCAGTGGTTCGGTTCAAGCAGCCTCAGTATCAACAATTAGCTTTTTGGAAGCGTGGCAGACACAATAGGAGGGCGCTATTTGAAGTGGGTAAATTTGGAGCAAAGACACAAGATTGTACCCAAACCAAACCTCAGATGGGCTAATGGAGATATATGGACAACAGCAAGTTTATGATGACCAGAGGTAGTTGGAATCAGTTTTGGTGAAAAGATCATGTTGTTGTGGGTTCTGCATGTTGACCATTTTTCTTGATGTAGGGATTTTTTTCCCCTTAGAATGTTGGAACAGGTTCCCATCATGTATACCCTGTTACCCTCGTCTTACTTCCTTAAACCTGTTAACTTGTCTAACTCCTCAAAACCCCTGTGAGTCATTTTGAAGGATACATTGTGCCACAGTCTTGGGCCACGCCCTGTGTTGCTCCGGCATGGATACATTTTGGCCTAGATTATACTGGACATCATTTATGCTGCCTCAACATATTGACAGGAACGACAGAAGGATTCTGAATGATTGATGCAATAGTCACCCCTCCACGGAACATATTCAAGAAAAATAAGGACTTCTGAAGATTGATACTTTATCTATCTTTTGCCTGGAGATGGAAGATTTTGAATGACCGATGATGTATCCTAACAAAAAGGCCCAGAGAGTAAGGGTTAAAGTATCCATTCCTGTAGTACCCGTTAATGCATGCCTAGAGCTAAGTGACAAGACCTCAGCTGATTTGCTTCGTCCCACTAGGTTCTGGATGTCCAGATCAATTGAGAGCTTCCTGAGGGGTAAGACCTCCTTTGCTGACCAGACCTTCTTGCTCAGGAAGGGTCTCCTAGAGGCCATCTTCACCAACATCAACAGCGTAGGCACCAAGTCCAAGGAGGTGCTACAGAGCAACTTTGACCTGTTGGCCGAACTCATGAAGTTCAACCACATTGCCTTCAAGAGATTCAACAAGTTGATTGACACGCAAGAAAAGGTATGAAACAGATTACTCTGTGCAAGAGTAGCTTCCTCGGGCTGCTCAAGTATCAGCAAAGCGGATAACAATGAGAATGGGGCTGATCAACTACTCACGTGTCTTGTTAGGTTAGCGAGTCTTCGCTACTCTTCACTTTGGGCATTTTACAATTTTGCATCTTTTGTGAATGTTAAGTACTTGGTTAAAATCTTGTTTTTTTGCCCAATCTAAGATTGATTGTTTAGGCCCCTTCATTGTCAGCGAGGCGTTGAATCACAAATTTTATTGAAAGTTGGCGAACCTTAGAGCAGTACATACGTTGTATTCTGCAAAGTTTATCGAAATTGGATGATACCTTGAGCTCGCAAGAGCTTCATTATTTCTCACTGCCAATCTTCAATGAGCAGTTCCTCCTATTTGTGGTCTGTGTAAAGGCTTCAGATTTCTCAGGGTCCAACAAGAAAGTATGAAACTTCACAAAAAAAAAAACAGTACAGCCAAATTTCGCCTTGAAAGTGCTCATACTCAAGGCGTTACTTACTCCAAACTTACAAAGACTCAACAAAAACTTAGGGAGGCAGAGATTTTGACATTTTTACTTCAAGAAGAGAGTCTGACAGACGATAGACTTATGTTTTAAATAAAAAGTATTTTCAATTATATTTCAGTTGGATTCCTTCCTGAAGTTGGTGACAGAGAATATTGTGGACTCCAACATGTTTGTCCGATGTCTGATCCTGACCTTGGATCATTTCCAGAGGGAACAGCCTGACAATTACGGTGAGAATGGGGCTTCAAGTAAAAAAAAAAAGCTATCTTCTGAAACTTCAGAATTTCACCCGTTTCTTTTGTGACTGATGTTGTCAGCCAGTTCTGTGCTAGAGTACGATGCTTCTGTGTTTGACCATGCGTGCTTCTCTCCTTCAAATCATGAAATGATAGTGATATTAGTATATGGCAATTTGGCCATGGGCTCTGCGCGCATTTTCACGATGACTGTAGAGAATCTATGCTAGGCTGACGGGTCCTCTTCCTGGCATGTCTCATGTCTGTGCACGAGTGCCCTAGTTCAGGCATTAAGCATTTCTTGTCATGTGCAGTTGTACGTTGCTTTGAGGTAGGGCCGAGTCAATTCAAATAATTCACTGTTCAAATATTCAACCTTCATTTTGATCGCATGTCCAAATTTTCGTTCGTACCGACTGGCAGATTGTTGATGAACAAACTATAAACAAAATCAGTTGCAATAACGCACACAATTGTTCATTATAATCATTAAAATAGCTTCTCATGTCTAGGAGTAGCTCCAGCCATGATTTAGCAAGATTTAAGAGATGGACAATACTTCTTGCCCTTTTGAAAATTTCCATCCCTTTTACATTGTTTCATGCATAATTTACTTTCTGAATCATTGTAAGATTTCTGTCACTTTTCATTTGAATGTGCTTGAAGCAAGCCTCCATAATGCAGTTGTCCTAATTTAAAACCAAAAAAAGTTTGCCCTTTCTTTTCATGAATTTAGCATTCAAATACTCAAATCTGGAAAATAATACTCGAATATTCGATTATTGATCGAATATTCAGATATTCCACACAGCCCTACCAGCACTTTGAGGCAGCACCTCATGTCTTGCCACCAGTGCTGGAGGACTCGAGTCCGGACTCTGACTCTAGTCTGGACTCGAGTCCCTATTTTCAAGGACTCAGACAGACGAGACCCAGACTTGGACTTGGACTCAGACTTGAACAGTGAGGACTCAAATATGTTGAGGCTTCGGCCTGAGGCCAGTAAAACAACCCCAGATTTTTACCTCTACTTTACTGCCGTTTCATTGAACAAAGTCATAGTTCTCATGCTTCCTTGAAAGACACTTCGGTTGCACTGCAACGCTAGCGCTACATGCATAGTCCAGTTTGAGGACCCTGTGTTTGGACCAGCTTCAGATGGAAACTCAGGGCACGGTGTAGGCATGGGTAGTGCTGAAAGTAGCTGCCAAGGTTCGGGTTTGGTTTGGACACGGTTTGGAAATTTTTTGTCAAACTTCGGTTCTGGTTTGGACGTGTACACACATGTACATACATGTACAATGCACATCGAGACATCAAAGAGCTCGCTACAAACGTACATGCCGTATATAGTACTTCCGTGTGTATGTTCAATACAAGCATCAAATCTCCTCTCCATCCCATCCACGAGCAACTTTGATGTGAACATAATTTTTTTTCCAAACTGTTTCCCTAAAGTTTGTTTAGGAGTTAAAATTCCCTAGAAAGTTACCGTCGGAGGTGTGACAGTTTCTGACCATGTTTTACAGACCAAAAGTGGTTGTGTTTGGACAACGCTTGACTCAACAAAACGGTCGTAGGATATGTGAAAGCAAGAAAAAAATAGCATGCTCAAATGGGAGTTTCTTCCTTTAAAGGATACAAGATAAAATTAGATTTCCAGCAAATTGTGTTTTCGTTATTTTTAACGAAACAGATTAAACTACTAAACTATGCTTTCGCTGTGTACGAAGAACCTCAAGCATTCTTTCCCAGGACGGCACCCACATAGCCAAAGGGGCGATCTTCCATCAGTCTTTTCTAACGGATAATGGCATTTTGTTATTTGAGATTTGCGAACAAGTTAGAGATCTGGCAAAATTCCATTACAACGTATTTATGCTACGACTTCGATCAAAAATGATCAAACGAAAGGCAAATTAGGCTACACTGTCGTGCACTGGATTGCTTCAAAATCAGTTTTCCCTCCGGAGTTGCCTTTGATCGAGCATGAGTCTGAATGTGATCAGCGTCCAATCAAAAAACGTTTTTCATGGCCATTTACGACATTGTTAGCCTAATATGGAACGAAAGGGCGTGGCTATCGGAAATTGGCAAACATAATGTAAATCTGAATATACATAAGCACAATTGGATGTAGTGAGAATTTAGAATTGTTGTACAGCGGAAATGCCATACATTCCATGTTCGCAGTTGATTATTAGTGAATTCTCACCACATGCCTTTTACAACCATCGCGTGATGCGGGGCCACCGGAAGTACTGTTCATGTACAGTGTACATTTACAGTACCCTCCTGATGAACAATTGATGTTGCACTAGTGCGTGGACTCTGTGGAATAGTTCCCTAATGAAAGACTCACAAACGAAGCTTGATTATGTAGTAGAAGAATCAGAACCAAGGAACCAGACTAATAAGACTACCATGCCAAACTGGCATGACAGATGAATCTTAAATTTTAACACTACAAAACTTACATTTGTACACCATGGAAGCATTGTCGTAAGTCTATATATCTGCTAATATTGCATGTTCTGGAATTTAAATGAAAATCTTTCACAAAATGATTTATGAAGCTACCATACGAAGATGGAGTGCACTCACAAGAATGGACTGAGGCATACTTGCAAACTCTACAGCTTTGGGCGGTAGACTACCGTTTTTCGTGAATTTTAACCGTCTACCGACTTTCTGCTAACAGCTACCATTCTTGATAATTTTAAATAATTTCACACTCGGACTGGGATTGGACTGGGATGGCAAGGACTCGACTGTAGCACTGCTTGCCACCTCAAACACTGTTAAGTGCATGTTAGTCATCATATGGCCACGCCGATAGAGCTGAAGTTAGTGTGTGCGTGTTGATGTTCAGGACTCACCTATGACGCATTTCATTTTTGAGCAAGAGTTGTTGTGATACTTAACCCCTTCGCGCCGGTAATTCCTTTGACCATGACTGCTGGACTGTGGTATGCCCTGAGTGGAGGGCTTTGTCCAGCAGCAGGCCCCATTGAACCAGCAGCTGCATGGTGAATAGACTGTATGTGTGGTATGCACTAATCCTCACACAAAGCTGTGGCTCTTGCCGTCTCCCGGAGGGTTAACTAGCTCATTGCCAGTACATTACCAGTGTTTGTGTGTGTGTTCTCTGAAGCAGTATCCGTTGTGTTTCTGTCTTTTCCAGAGTATGCCATGAGGAGTTGCCGGCTGCTCCAGTTCATCCGCAAGAGAGAAATGAGAATAAGATTCCTCATCAAACTCATCAATACTGTCCACGTCGAAATCCTCACACAGGTTTGTATCTTACTTCATATTGGCCACACAGAATCTGAATCTGTTTCTGCCTGGCGGTGTTTTCTACAATGACTGTGAATTTCTCCTTGATTGATTTCTTGTAACTTCAACATCTCCACAATTCTGTCATGACAGGAGAACGTGAGCTGCCTGAACACCACCATTATCTTCCTGATGTTTGCCGAGCGGTCGTGTGAGCTGCCCCAGTATCTCTCAGAGCTAAGGGATGAGGAACAGAGCCAGCTCAAGCCAGGCTTCCTGCTGCAGAACTTCAGGTTGGTCTCGCGCTGGACCGATCCCAGCACTTGATCATTGTTCTCGTGTGACTGGTTTTAGTTATGGTGCTAACAGTTTTCCGGCTGTTGTTGGATGATGTATCCTGCTGCTGTGAGGCGTCTTCCTGATGTATCCTTGATTTTATCTATCCAGGATATTTTTATTTGTAGAGGGGCTTACATTAGCTCTCTGTGCAGTGTGTAAAACAATATTTGATAAAGACATGTGGTTGTACTTTTTAATTTGTCTTTTGAAATGCTGTTTGGCTTTCCAAGAAAACCTTGTGACTGTATGTATGAATAAGAAACACAGTATTCAAGGGAAAGCAACTGCCCTGTGAACTTTGTCCATTCCAAATCTCTCCAACCTTATGTGATGTTTTCCCCCTTGTAAATCATCATGATAGAAAAGCTTTTCATCTGGGACTGTCAGATTTTTGTGTACAATTTCATGTAGGTTTGTCATTTGAGATGAGCTTGGACATGCACAAGAGATGACAGCTGTAGAAAAAGGACTCCTTTTTATTGTCATTCAAATTCCAAATTACTGAAATGAATGAACGTGCACAGATAACAAAAACAGAGCACATTTATGCATATTTTACTTTGTGTAATACTTTTACAATTACTTTAATTTTGACCATACTTTTAGCATACTTCTGTTGTATCTTGAAATGATTGGCGTCACTTTCTTCCACTCGTAGAGAGCTTGTGTTCTTCTGGAGAGATCATTACCTTCACAAAGACAAGGACTCTAGCCAGCTTGAGAAGGTATGTAAATGCACTGCTTTGAAACACTGAGAAGAAAAAAAACCAATTAAGCATTCCAAATACCTTGGATATATCTGCGTATTGTCATGACTGAGCTGGCAGCATGGCTGCATCACAGTTTCCATGGAGCGTTTTTGCCACAGTGGGTTAGGTAATATGGAAAAAACTCTTCTCAGGCACTTTTTATCAGACTTTCTGCCTCGTTTTGTGCAGTGACATTCCTTTTTTTTACCTCTGATGAAAATCTTGCATCTCGTGATATAAAACCATATATTGTCCATGTTGGACAGGCTACAGTGATGGACTGACCTCAAGAAGTCGGGCAGTTTATCAATCTGTGAGATATTGAACAAGTTCTCTTATCCTGATTAAAAGGGCACTCTCAATGGCCCACATGACACTATGCCCATGGGACAATGTCGTTAGCAAACACCATGGCGTTGTGCACAGTTCTTACATAGTAAGCAAGCCTTCAAAGCTTTGAGAAATGGCAAAAAGTATGAGAAAAATACGGAGCCAGCACCGAGAAATGGATCAATATGAGATGGTAATTGTGAATGGCATCAAGTGGTGACTGTCATGCAGGGCATCAAGTGGTGACTGTCATGCAGGGCATCAAGTGGTGACTG